TCAGAATTAGATCTTCACACTTTTGCGTTAACGCTTGCCACACGCTACACTTTTCGGGTTGAGGATTTACAACTTCTTGCTTTTGGAAGGTTCAGGTTTGGATTTTTTTGGAGGTTTTGCGCTTCTCATTTTCGTTTACAGCTGTGGGCCCGCACTTTTGGGTTTTACATAGGCGTTGCCACTGCTTTTGTCACTGCTCACTTCAGGTTTAGACGTTTTTGGCGTTTTCCGCTGCGCAGTTTGGGTTTACGACTTTCCACCACGCATCGATTTTTTGAGGTTCAGGGTGGTTCACTTCTCACTCTTGCCAGGTTCAGGATGAAACCTGCTTTGGGTGTCATTCTGGGTTTTTGCAGCCTGCAACTCACCACTCTTAGGTTTAGTTTGCCACTTCCCGCACACGCCACACTTTGGGGGTTTAAAGTTGCTACTCTGCAGATTTTTTCGACGTTTTCTGCTTCACGATTTGGGTTTACGGATTGCCACGACATTTAGAGAGTCTAGGGTTTCCCACTTCCTGCTTCCGTTATGTTCAAGATCAGACTTTTTAAGTGCTGGCCGCTGACATGGTGTTTGCACGGCCCTCCACTCACCACTCTTTTAGGGCGCAGGTGTGCAATTACCCGCTTTGGTTAGGTCCACTTTTTGACATGTTCTTGTGCTTGCCGGTTCATGCTCACCACCTTTCAGGGTGCAGCATTTCCAACTTCCTACTTTTGTTAGGTTCAGGTTTTGCGCTTGTTTGGGGTTTGCGCTTTACAGTCTGGGTTTACGTATTACCCGTCATCGCATCTTTTTCGTGTCGATTATGGGTTTGCCACACCCTCATTTTGTTTGGTTTAGGTGAAAACTGTTTTTGGGTTTTCTGCCTCACGGTTTGGGTTTACAGCTCCCGACTCACCACACTTTTAGGGTTAAGGGTTTGCCTTCGGGTTTTGACTTGTTCTTGGGGGTTTCCGCTTCTGAATTTGGATTTGCCGCTTGCCACGCGCCACACTTGTTGGGTTGCGGGTTTGTTGCTGCTGCTTTTGTTAGGTTCAGGTTTAGACTCTTTTTGGGTGCTTTCTGGGTTGCAAATGAGGTATAGGGCAATTTCGGGCTTGCCACCTTTGGGCAAGCAGTCTGCGGATAATCCGAGCGAGAGCGACGCCTGCATCCTTATCCAGCTAATTACATCACTCAAATGATTTTTTTTAGTGGTTTGCCGATTTCTACAATCGTTCCAGATCAGAACCGAGCGACTCTTCCGGAATCGGGCATGCGTATCGCATGCAAGCTGGGCTCCCTAGCAGTCTCACACCTTTCGCATATTCCCACCTTCAACCTTTAGTGCTTGCTACTCACTGGTGTGAGGTGCAGGTGTAGACATTTTCGGTGTTTTCCGCTTCGCAGTTTGGGTTTACGGTTTGCTGCTCAGTACACTTTAATGGTCTAGGGTTGGTTTGCCACTTCTTATGTCTACCAGGCTGGTTTAGACCCTGTCTGGTTTGCTACTTCGCAGTTTGGGTGTACGGCTTGCAACTCATTCCACTTTCAAAAATTTAGTGTTTAGGGTTTGCCGCTTGGCAGCACTTTTCTAGCCACAAGCTTACAAAGCCATAACAGTTCGAACACAAGCTTTAACCGGACCCAGCTTACATACAATCCCTTGGAACATAAGGCCCCGAACCTGAAGGTTTTAGACTACAAATGGCAGGTTTAGGTTTTCACTGTTTTGGCGGTTTGGTTATAAGTTGACTTGTCGGTTTTTTACTGAGCTTACGTTATATGTCAGTTTACGGCTAGGTTATAAGTATCGAAGTCTCACTGTGTTGCGCAACTGATTTTAGCGAAACCGAATCTGAAGCGAGAAAACTTAATCGCAGAAGTCAGAGCCAACTCAAAGCGGAAACATGCCATCGAACGCATATAGGTATATGTAGCACGTGCACACGCAAAGACAACAACAGCAGCGACAACAACAACAACAACTAAAATAGGTGAAGCCTGCGGCTGCTAAATCTCGAGGACAGCAGAGAGTGTCATAGGACAGCAGAGAGTGTCATATACTACGTTGGAGAAAAATGCAGGAAATAATGCCACTACGTCCCACTACGTCCCCACTGCTCTGTGTCATTTTGGGTTGTCGGTTAAGGATTCGGCAAAGCTCCGGCCTTCAGGACTTGTCGTCTGCCATCCATTCGTTCTGTGGTTTCGGCTTTTGCCTCTACATCCAGTCCCCGCTCCCGGCTCCTTTCTGGATTCAAGAGTCGACGGTGCACAGTTTTCGTGTGTGCAGCTACGTTCGTTGGCAGGGGGAGGAACTGAACGAATGCAACAGCTGGCAGCATGCTTGAGGTTGCAAAAATGCAGGTTGTTTTTTTCAAGCAATAGTGTGTCTTGTCGCGAGGATGCTGTTGTGTTCGGAAGTGATGCTTTGTAATCAGCATTCCAGAGGCCAGAAATTGTCGAAAGGTCGGCGGTGCTAGAAGCAGACGCCCGACTACCGAGAGTTCAACTTTTGTCTCCCACCAGAAGCACTCACTTCGTTGTGTTTTGTTGTCACTGGCCTTCTGGTGTTGTGCTGTGGTACATAATACTGATCATGTCGTTTTATCGACCTCTTGTGATCGCTGCCAGGAACAAGAAAGCAGACCAACCAACTGAGGCTGACATTTATCTGATCGACGAGCCCTCGGCGTACCTGGATGTGGAGCAGCGTGTGGTTGCGGCCCGTGTGATGAAAAGGCTCAGATCCATTTTTTATTGCTTTCGGTGCATACTACGTGGGCGTCAGAGGTTCATCCTGCATGCCAAGAAGACTGCCTTCATTGTCGAACATGATTTCATCATGGCGACGTGGGCCCTCCGTATTTTTCGATAAGCTTTCCTTTTCGAGGAATTCCACAAGATTCGCGCAAACGCACATCAGGTATCTTGCGGACCGCGTCATTGTCTACGATGGAAGGAAATGGACCTGGGTTCCCTTTGGCAAGTGGATCTGTAGTCTAGAGTCTAGTCTGCCTTTCCTTATCAGGCCGGGCATCCATTGCGTGGCATCGGCTCCAATGTCGCTGCTTGAGGCGTCGTATGCAGGTTTATCACTGGCAGATGGGAAATACTTGGCAGCCATTTGCGTGCGGGTGCATATAAGTGTGATAAAGAGACAGAGCGTGTGTGAGTGTGTGTTCGGTGCTGGCAGGGCCTGATAGGCACCTCCTCGCCAAGCATGTCGAGTTCCCTGATACTGTTCGGGTGAGTCTTTCCGGCCTGCGATAGGGAGAGCAGGTGACCTTCGAGGCTACTTTTGCAGTGCTTGTGGTTTTCGGTGGCGGTGGCTGGCCAGTTTCGTTGGGGCGTCTTGCTTCTCCGGTGTTTGCTTCGCGCGACTCTTCAGCTTGCTCCCCCCTCACCATTGAGTTTCCACTGTGGCATCTAGATGCTTCGTGGGCTCGCTGACGATAACTCCTGGATGGTATCGCATTGTATTTTCAACTATGTTGAGCTTGCAGATTTCTATGCTAGAGGCACAGGTGGGTAGCAGCATGGCGGGAATCTGTGGCTGTTTACAGATAGTCATTGTGCCGCAGCAGTGCAACATCGCAGGTACAAAGGTTTAAGGAGGCTCCTGTTTGTGTGTCTCCGGACGACATTAACTAACATGCCACTCGGTTTCGCCATCCAGGCTTAAACAACGTGCATCTGCTCGCTTCATATACCGACAAAAGTTCGGCATCGTCCCTTTCTGGTGATGCTTAATCAAATCATGTTGCTTCTGGAAAGGGCATGAACAAGTTCTTGGCACAGCTGGAGATCACCTTCCGTGCCCCGGCGAAACTTCGCAAGGCTCTGGGAGACCGTTTTGGGACCTATTGATTGCTGTTTGCCAGGAAGAGATCCGACCAATTTCCGTCCTCGAATCAACAAAGCAGAGTCTGTGAAGGCCTCCTGGACTGCACCACCCTTTCTGTCAGCAGGTCTTGTTTGTCGCTGTGACTTCAGGCAGATCAAGGGAAGGGACTCTTAAGCTTTAAATCCCTTGCAAACCAAAATGCGCAGCCAAGCAAAAGGCCCGGCTCGAACTGCAACTCTCAAGACTCAAGACAGTGCGGCTACACAGGCCAGCTATGGCCAGCTGCAATCCTGTGACGTTGCAGGATCGTGAGCAGAAGCAGGCAGGCAGCTATTTCGTCTTGGAGGAGTGAGTACGAGGCGCCTGGCGGTGAGTTCAATTCGTGCAGGCTAGCCGGCTAGCCTATAGCAAACTGTTTGCTGCGTTTCACTGCTCGTAGGGATGCCCTACTCGGGTTGCTGCCAGGTCCGACGCCGTGGTCCTCTGCGGAACACTGGAACAGTGAGCCGGCCATATCCTTTCTGCCCATGCGTGCGAAGTCGTGTGGGACAAGAGGAGTTGAAGGGCAGTATGACTGTCATGGGAGCTTTTTGTCGTAATGGGAGCTTTTGGTTCGTACAGGCTCAGATGTTTTCTGATCATTAACCTCTCGGAAGCTGCAGCGGGCGGCGACTTCAAAGAGCATCGCCAATAAGTCCCGGATCCGATGGGCCACTGCACGCCGAGTCATGAAAGTTGAGAAACCTCTGAACCCCAGCACGTGGCGGTGCTGCAGTCACAAGAAGCAAGGCTCCATGACTTGGGGTAACGTGCGATGGCACTCGGGACAAGTGTACAGTTGACCGGCTGCAATGCCGCGGTGGAAACAGAGCTCTGTTGGCCTTCAGTTTGCGGTCGCTGATCTTCTGCCCAGTGAGTTGCTGTCGCCCCATGGAGGACATCGGAGACAAGCTCAGGCAGAGACGGATCAGAATGCTTCTGTTGAACTGCGCCTGTCCTTGGCCCAAGTCTAACTGGGCCAAGGGCCATTCCAGACAAGGATAGTTGACGATTGCAGGACGACTGGGAACAAGGTCAACAATTGTAGGTCCAATCAGTTCTCCCGCAGCTTTCGCGACAGCTTCTACTGGGTCTCATCGTTGCTGGCTGGTTCACATGCTGTGACAGGATGAAACGTGACTACGACCATCTATTCAAGCTGGCGCCCGGACCGCAACAAAGTGCATAGCTTCGCAACAAGGTTGGCATTGCTAGCCGTAAGTTTTGAGCATCAGCCAAATCGCGGCTTTTTCTGGGCATGCTGCTAATCATTTCATTCGAGCTGTGGGCTTCGGCGGCACTCGTAGTTCTTTGGAGGAGAAGGTTGTTTCACATCTGCAAGCAGCCTGGCTTCGGGGTTGACTTGATCTGATGTTCCATGTTTGCCATGATGTTTGTGGTTTCTCCATCCTATTGAAGCTTCAGTCTTGCCTTTCGCCGCCATGGAATGTGTTCCACTGTCAACGGGCAGGGGGAGGGTGAAATTCCATTGGAAGGCAAACTACAGCACTTTCTGTTTCAGATGTGCGTAACCTGGCATACTCGCGGCACAGGCTTCAAGCATTCGTGTATTTTGCAGAGTTTTTGTGTTCGTCGTTTGAGAAGCCGAAGCTGAGGATATTTCCTCCTCCGTTTTTGTGTGCATATCGGTCTGGCTGGGTTTGGCATATGCTGCATTATGATCATCGCTGCTCTGTGGTCCAAAAGAGCACGAGTTGTGCAGTGGGCATGGTTTTCTTACCTGCCTGCTGTACGTGTTCTTGAGCATTCAGTTAGGGTTGCCATTCTGACCCTTTTCAGGATGGCAACTTCTGATAGGAAGCATCGACATGGAGCGTCTTCTTCGGCTTCCTCTTTACTTGTGCCGAGCTCTGTCCCTCCTGCAGCTTCTTGTGCCGCTGTGGCAGAGCCGGCCTTCAGCCAGATGTTGATTGACCATTTGGGACATGCCGCTCTTTCCGTCTTGAAGGGATCGGGTTTCCTTGGTGATTCTGATGTCGCCGGGCTTACCCCATCTGAGCTTTGCAGCATGTGCCCGGATCTCAATGTTGAGGCTGCTTCAGCTGCTTTATCAGTTGCAAAGTTACAGAAACATACATCCGTTCTTGCCGCCCCGACGGTGGCTGGCGAGCCTACACGATTGCCTCTTGAGTCTTTGCCTTCGAGTGGCCGAGCTGCTGTTTTTCAGCGTCCCCCGGCTCCGGCTCCGACCTTGGCACCCTCGAAAAAGGCCGTCATTGAGGAGTTTTGGCAGCTGTACTGTCATCTTGGCCGGCAGGGATTACGGTTCAGTCCATTGCTTCTTTCGCAACCTGAAAGCGCCAAGAAGTCATTCGTCTCCAGTTTCGCAACGACAGAGGAGGCAACTCTTCGCCAGCATAGTTGGGCTAGATGGTGCCGTTTCGCGGAGAGCTATCTTCCGCCTCCCGTGCAGGTGTGTGAGCCCACTCTTGAAGCAACGAATGCGTTCTTGCAGGATCAATCCACACGCGGTCCGACAGTGGCACGTAATCTGTTTCAGGGTTTACTTTGGTTGCAGAAGAATGTTGGTTTGCGCTTCCCACTGCAAGATCCCTTCATTGCAGCCTGGAATCGAGTTGAGGAAGGGCACTCAAGCTCTCAAGCAGTTCCTTTAAAGATCAGTGCTCTCTTCTGCCTGTGCCGCCTTGCTTCGCAGAGCAAGTCCAAGTTGGCAGCTTTCTGTGGATTCGTTTTGATGCCACTTGTCGCTTGCCTCAGGTTTGCTCACCTTCAGAGGTCCCACTCGTTGTCGATCGAGGGCCTTTCTTGCAAGGCATCTGCTCAAAGGGCAAAGCTCGGAAGATGGGGAACAGGCCTCCCTTTGCTTGGGCCTGCCCCGTTGATCTTTTGGGGTTTCACGATGTTTTTGGGGCCGCTCTTTTGGTGCATGCTAAGCTCACCCAGCTGAAGCCCGATGCCAGGTTCGTGATCCCCGACATTGACTTAGGTCCAGAAGGAATCTCAGAGTCTTCTGCCTGGTTTCCGCGGAAGATGGGTAGAGCCAAGTTCGTCAGAGTGCTTCAGGGAGTGCTTCGCCGTGCTGGTGCGGGGAACCATTACGTGTCAACCATTAGCACTTATTGCCTGCGGCGCTTCCTGCCTTCCCTGGCCGACGTGTGCCGGTGCCCGGAACATCTTTCTTTGCATTTGGGCAACTGGTCAGAAGGTGGCAACAAAGCTGCCAAGTTCCAGATGCATCATTTGTGCGCTGATGATAAGGTTCGCACTGCTGCTGACACCAAGGCGCAGCTTTTCAAGCTTTTGCACCAAGGGTCTCAAATGCTTCAGTCCGAGAGCTTTGATTGGCAAGCTTTGCGCAACTTGAACCTTACTTGGTCTTCTTGCCAGCAAAACAATTCCCAACCTCCAGCTGCCTCTGTCGCTAAAAAGCAGAAACTTGCCTCTTCAAGCAGCTCAAGCAGTCCCAGCAGCTCAGAAGATGATGGCGATGCCCCTCCTGTGCAGTGGTTTCGCCTTAAGTCTGCGAGCAGGAATGTGGTGCACATTTTGAGACACGGCAGTGTCGACCTTCATCCGCTTTGTCGCTCGGTGGCCATGCCACCTGCTGAGGTAGTTCGACAAGTCGGTTTGGATAAGGACCATGTTCTTTGCCAGAGATGTGTCACAGCTGCACCCTCCGATGTTCTTCCCGACACCGAAAGCGTACTGAGTAAACACTTGTGCTGCTTTGATTGCACTTGGCTTGAGGGGCATTGGCTGCATCTCTTCTTTAAGTGCTGCAGCTGCTACCTCTCTTGATAAGAGTTCTTTGTCTTCCCTTCGTGCATTGCGACATGGGGGCGGCTTGCTCTTACGCGGAAGCTGTCGAAGTGGTCTTTAAGATTTTGCTGCTGTTGCCACCGCTTTGGCTCATGGCTGTGCGAGAGGCTGTTCGTCGCTTTGAAGATCAACCTCTCTTGGAGCAGGATGCTGATGGTGTTCTACGACTGCGGTGTGAACGGCCGGAGTCTTCTGCTTCGGCCTCGGGCAGCTCTTTTGCACATACGACTGCACATGTTCCTGCAGCTGATCCATCGCCTGCTCCAGAGACCCCGAATGACCCACCTGCTGGAGCTGATCGTCAATTCAGACAGGACCTCCGATGCGGCATTCCTTGTGTACTCTGCAGCACTGGATGGTGCAACCGCGGGAAGCCAAATCATGTGCACCACACGTGCTTGAGATGCAGAAGGGGGTAGATTTTGCCGCCTTGCGCAAGCCTGGCCTTAGAGTTTTTGCACTCGTTCGGGCCTTCGAAAAATTGTGCTCCTGCCAAGTTCCCTCCTTGTGCACTTGCTCACGCTGGTTGCTTGCAGTGTTGAGTTGTGCACTATAAGGATGATTGTCTTGTGCGAGCTTGCCCTCCTAGCCGTTTGGGTCATAGTTAGGTGCCCCGCCCCTCCTTTGGTTGGTTTAGTGCCTTCCGAGAATGGCTCCCGGCGCAGCTTCTTCTCGCGACCTGGAGCAGTTGAGGTCCCTCCTTTCGGCTGCCAGGTTGTCCGATGGGCTCATCAAGTACGTGGAAACCCTGGGCGTCGAGTCTCTATCGGACTTTGTCGGGCTGGTTGAGAGTTCCAAGTATGAGTCCCAATTGGCTGAGTTAGTTTTGGATAAGAGTCCAGAGAAGGGTAGCATGCTTCAGCTGTACTGCTTGGAGTGAAGCATCGGCTGCAATTCAGCAGCAGCACAAGCGCAAGTTGGAAGGAGTCGCTGAGGATGCTGAGGAGCCTTTGGATCCTTCAGTTGCTGAGAACCTTCAGTCGTCTTGGCAAAGGCTCTACGGGCATCGCTTGGACATCCACCTTACACCAAGTGATTCGCTCTTGGGTAGGGTTTATCGCGAATTTCAGCGTGGCACTGCCTCTTTGATTCCGGCGAGAAAGATTACATCTCTCTTTCATGCTTCATTGCCTCAGCCAAAGACTGAAGTTGCACTCAATGTGACCTTGAAGCTGCAGGTCGCAGCCGAGCCGGGGCCAGTTAAGGACCTGGTTGATTACTACTTTCGTCTTCGGCTTCTCGCCAATGCTTATTGCCTGGCGGGGAGTCACAGGGTCGATTCTGTACTGACACCCGGGACCCAGGTGATCTTTGCTCCGCTCGAGATCAACCTCAATTACTCCGATCAAGCTCTGCAGAAGGCCAATAATGTTCAGGCCCCACCTGCTGCTCAGCTCGCATGGCTGGAGACCCGTGACCTCCACACACGATCCAAGATGGTCGAGTTTCTTCGCATGGCATACCCCCAGGGGGAAGCTCTGTGCAAAGCCCTTGCCGAAACCGAGCTGTTGTGGAACAGCACTACGCAGCTTCCTGTGCTCAGCTCTCCCGATGCTTTCCAGCCTCAGAGTGCATCTCCCACTAAGGCGAATCGCAGAGAGCGCACTTGCAATGAGACTGAGGATGGTCGCAGCATTTGCAAGAAGAGAAACGATCAAAGGGGTTGCACAGCTGATGAGAAGCAGTGCCCAGATCGCAAGGCACATGTGTGTGACGTTCGCCTTGCATCAGGGAAGGCATGCGAATCCAAGCAGCATACGAGGGCTCATTGCCCCCACAGATCCCAGTGAAGGATTGGCCCCGAGGAGGCACCGTGCTCGCCTGTCTCCTCGATCGTGCCTGCTGTTACGCGAGCCGTGCATGCTTCTGATTGTGTTCACGATGGTAATGCTGCCTCGCATGCTGTGCCAAATCTGTCCCCGTCAGCCTCAGGTGTTTTGCCTCGACAAGTTTTCCAAACAGGCGATCCCGCCTCGGGTCCCGTTGCCCATGATTTCGCAGCTCGGGCCGTCCCGTCTGAGGCATCGCTTGTCAATACTTTGCATGAATGTTTCCCAGGCCCCTCTCACAATCGTCGAAAAGGCGTTCTCGGGAGTGCTGAGGTCGCTAATTACTTTATTTTTGGTCACTTCTGTGGCAAATCAGGCGATGGCATCTCCAGGAATGCCTTGCGATTCCCGGAGTTGACTCGTGATGTCAACAAATTCCTTTCTTCTCACTGCCCTGGCTGTGACTGGTCCAGCATTGCCATTGCTCATAACCAGTTTGCGCACCCGCATAGGGATTCGGCTAATGCGTCGTCGAGCTCCAACATTTCCATGGCCATTGGCAGCTTCTCAGGCGGAGGGTTGCTCATTGAGT